ATGGTTGTTAGTATTTGCCTTATGTATTGAGGTGCTCCTATGTTGGGGGCATAAGTATTTACAATTGTTATATCTTCTTCTTGGATCGATCCCTTAATCATTATGTAGTGTCCTTCTTTGTCTCTTCTGATAGTCCTTATTTTAAAGTCTATTTTGTCTGATATGAGAATTGCTACTCCAGCTTTCTTTTGGTTTCCATTTGCATGGAATATCTTTTTCCATCCCCTTACTTTCAGTCTGTATGTGTCTCTAGGTCTGAAGTGGGTCTCTTGTAGACAGCATATATATGGGTCTTGTTTTTGTATCCATTCAGCCAATCTGTGTCTTTTGGTGGGAGCATTTAGTCCATTTACATTTAAGGTAATTATCGATATGTATGTTCCTATTCCCATTTTCTAAATTGTTTTGGGTTCGTTATTATAGGACTTTTCCTTCTCTTGTGTTTTTGTCTAGAGCAGTTCCTTTAGCATTTGTTGTAAAGCTGGTTTGGTGGTGCTGAACTCTCTCAGCTTTTGCTTGTCTGTAAAGGTTTTAATTTCTCCATCAAATCTGAATGAGATCCTTGCTGGGTAGAGTAATCTTGGTTGCAGGTTTTTCTCCTTCATCACTTTCAGTATGTCCTGCCACTCCCTTCTGGCTTGTAGAGTTTCTGCTGAGAGATCAGCTGTTAACCTTATGGGGATTCCCTTGTGTGTTATTTGTTGTTTTTCCCTTGCTGCTTTTAATATGCTTTCTTTGTATTTAGTTTTTGACAGTTTGATTAATATGTGTCTTGGCGTATTTCTCCTTGAATTTATCCTGTATGGGACTCTCTGTGCTTCCTGGACTTGATTAACGATTTCCTTTCCCATATTAGGGAAGTTTTCAACTATAATCTCTTCAAATATTTTCTCAGTCCCTTTCTTTTTCTCTTCTTCTTCTGGAACCCCTATAATTCGAATGTTGGTGCGTTTAATGTTGTCCCAGAGGTCTCTGAGACTGTCCTCAGTTCTTTTCATTCTTTTTTCTTTATTCTGCTCTGCAGTAGTTATTTCCACTATTTTATCTTCCAGGTCACTTATCCGTTCTTCTGCCTCATTTATTCTGCTATTGATCCCATCTAGAGTATTTTTCATTTCATTTATTGTGTTGTTCATCATTGTCTGTTTCATCTTTATTTCTTCTAGGTCCTTGTTAACTGCTTCTTGCATTTTGTCCATTCTATTTCCAAGATTTTGGATCATCTTTCCTGTCATTATTCTGAATTCTTTTTCAGGTAGACTGCCTATTTCCTCTTCATTTGTTAGGTCTGGTGCCTTTTTATCTTGCTCCTTCATCTGCTCTGTGTTTCTCTGTCTTCTCATTTTGCTTCCCTTACTGTGATTGGGTTCACCTTTTTGCAGGCTGCAAGTTCGTAGCTCCCGTTGTTTTTGATGTCTGTCTCCAGTGGCTAAGGTTGGTTCAGTGGGTTGTGTAGGCTTCCTGGTGGAGGGGACTAGTGGCTGTGTTGTGGTGTATGAGGCTAGATCTTGTCTCTCTAGTGGGCAGGCCCACGTCTGGTGGTGTGTTTTGGGGTGTCTGTGGACTTATTATGATTTTAGGCAGCCTCTCTGCTAGTGGGTGGGGTTGTGTTCCTGTCTTGCTATATGGTTGGCATAGGTTGTCCAGCACTGTAGCTTGCTGGTCGTTGAGTGAAGCTGGGTGCTGGTGTCGAGATGGAGATCTCTGGGAGATTTTCGCTGTTTGATATTATGTGGGGCTGGGAGGTCTCTTGTTGACGAGTGTTCTGAAGTTGGCTCTCCCACCTCAGAGGCAGAGTCCTGACTCCTGGCTGGAGCAGCAAGAGCCTTTCATCCACTCGGCCAAGGTTACTCAGCAAGCAGAGGACAAAGTCAGGATTCAAACTGAGGACTTCTGATTCTCCCCCTCGGGGCTTTTGCCGCCAGCCTTTCCATGAAATATGTGACAGCAACAATAAGCTGCTCGGTAGCCTCAGAAGGGGATCAACATGTTTTATTTTATCACCTTTCCTGTGAGAAATGATTTCCCCTTGAAGAGATAGTCTGTGCTCACGTCCCTCGGCCACAGGTCATCAGCCAGGACAGCAAATGGAGAAGAGTCATAACGCCAGGAAAACACAAATATCTTGTCCAGCCCGGGAGGCTTGTGTGCTCGCCCGCCGGGGCGGCCGGGGCTGCGGGCTGAGGCTCGGGCTTCGGTCGGAGCGCAGGGAGAGGGCTGGGGTTCGCTGCGTGAACACAGCCTGCAGGGGGTTAGTGCGCCACGGCTGGCCGGGAGGGAGTCCGGGGAAAAGTCTGGACCTAACAGAAGTTGCAGGAATTTACAGCGCTTCTCAGAAATCAGCAGAGGATGCCAGCCAGTCCCCAAACGCCAAGTCTGTTTACGCCATCTCTGGACTGCCTTGCTCCCCTGACTCAGCTACCCGGATCTATGTGAGGAAGCGAGTGGTTTTTTTTTTTTTTGTTTTTTTTTTAATGCAGTGACTGAAATGCTTATATCACTGCAAATTATATGTTCTGTTTGTAGCCCCGAGAAACCCTTTTCAGTGATGATTTCCATGGCCCATATGATCTTCAAATATTATGCCTGCATTTTTGTCTGCCTGCCCAGGTATTGGTCATTATGGTAACACAGCCCCTGCTCTATGGGCCGTGATGCCCTGTGGGGGCTTGTGAGTTTCAGGCAGTCGTGATTCCCACCAGCTGGGGAAGTACAGGAGGTAGCAGGTTAGAGGGAGGAAAAGGGCCCAACAGGAGAAACGTACAAGCACACTGGGTGAGGATGTTACTGACAGTGACAGTTATTTCTGGGCATTAAAAAAAATAAAGTAAGCCCTTGAGACATTTTGGAAATTAAATGATGCAAATTGTGGAACATGATGGAAAAGAATATAGAAATGGGAGGATTGTCAAGAAGTTTCAAAATGAGTCAAATTAGTTTCATGGACTGGACCTCGCTAAAAATGTTTACTTTATGTTGAAATGTAGTATTGACATCTGAAATTGAAATATGTTTGTTACTTTTCTGTTTCATGCTAATATAAAGATGACGCCCAAGCCATCTTTTTTTTCCCCCCTTGGGAATTCCTAGGATGCAGTGCCCTGTAAATGTCAGAACAATGGATGGGCAGCACTTGATTCTCCCTTGTGCTTTCTCTCTACAGGAAATCACAGAAATAGCCCCCCCGCCTATCGGTTCCATCTCACACCAGAAGAAGAAATGAGGAGAAAGCGGCTTCACAGATTCGACGGCCAGTGAGGTGACCCGGCCATGTGAACAAATGTGATCCAGCTGTGTTATCATTGCCCCCAAGCCCCCACTTAGTTTTGAAAAAAAGCAGAGGGCACTATGACCGTCCCGATTGCTCACATCTGCCGTGGCCCTTCGTCCTATGGCCTCTGTGAGTCTAATTTGCAAGCAGATTGACATCTTGAGACCAGGCTTGTTGGATGCAGCTCACAGCTCTCTGGGAGTGGCCCACCTCCTAGCCTTGTCTTCTTGCAGACAGAAAGTCAGCGTCTCCACATAGGGACCAGTTTCCACACTCATTTCTCTCACTGCTGACTCAGCCTTGTTTTGTCTTTGAAGACCGTGACCTTCGCCAGGAGGTTTGTGTTCACCAGCCCAGAAGATCAGGCCCTCATTCTGCTCAGTGCTCGGCTTGGCAGGAAGCAGGGAGCCATCCCTCATCCTCCTGGCATGTTGCCATGGTGACTTTCCAGGAACAGGACGTGGCTACCATCGCAGGCTGTCATTCCAGTCTCCCTTGCCCAAGCGCCTCGGTTCCTTGGGCCCCCCATATCTGGATGGTGGTTGCAGTGAACCTGCTTTGCTATGCTATCACTCTGCCTTCACGGGATGTGTAACTGGAAAAGCTTAAGTAAGACCTCAGATGGGAAACCACTTACACACTCCATGACACAGCAGGCGGCGTCCACAGTTGGGCTCCCAGCAGCCTCTCCAGTGGCGGTGTACCACCCCGGAGATGCAACTTGTATTGAACTAACCAGCAAAGCAGCAGCACGTGCCGCGTGCAGAGCAGTGACCAGTGGGTTGGTCACTGAGAAATCCCTCGTGACGAAGTATTTTTTTCTCATAAAAGTGCCTTTTAATTGACCACTGTAACAGCCGCTTGTCCTACTCACCCGTCCAAGACACTCCCCAAACCCATAGACTGCAGGTCACTTACGGTGTTTCCTGGTGCTTGTGTTTCATGAATAAAAGGAAAAAGTCACATATCACTGATGTCTTATTTCACTGAGATATTTATGTTTAAAGGGAGTTAGAAGCAGAAAAGGATCTTCCTATTTTGCTTTATCTGGCATTTATATAGTTCTCTAATTATGAAAGTACTATATATCCCTTGTATATGCATAAAGCAAACACCTGGCAGGAAATGTACCCACATGTTAACAGAGGTTATTTTGGAAGGTGGAGTGCATAGGAGTTTGCTTTCCGTTTTTTACAATTTTGTATTGCTGTCTTTTAAAAACGCGTGTATACATATGTGTACTACTTTTGCGGTAGGAAAACTGATTTATATGATAATAATAAATCAAGAAATATATAATCAGGAAAATGGACTCAATAATAAGTATTGTGTATCCGTTGATAAAATTTACAATATAAACAGAAATACAAAAAAATGCATGTGCAATTTAAAAAATCACCTGTATCCCCACCACTCAGAGGTACCGAGGGTTAACATTTTGGGGATATTGCTTTCTCAGTCTTTGTATACATTTGACAGATTTGGAGCATACCAACTATGCAGTTTTGTATCCGGTTCCTAATCTGAATTGACCTGGGAGAGGCTTTGCCACTTGGATGTACATGAGCTAAGAAAATCACCACGTGGGACCTGAAAGCACTTTGACCTGCCAGCTGGCACGTGTTACCTGAGCTCCTTGGGTTAATTTTTGATTGATATAAAGCTACGTACAGCATGTTTAGAGTATGAATTGTATCTCTGAGTCTCGTAGCTTCAAACATTTTAAAATTTAAATGTTCAAGCTAAATGTCATTCCTCTTTTCTCCCAAACTCTTTGAATTTGTTTCCCATGACCTCTGTTGGGAGTAAGCTCATTCTTTTTTTTTTTTTTGCGGTACGCAGGCCTCTCACCGCTGTGGCCTCTCCCGTTGCGGAGCACAGGCTCCGGACGCACAGGCTCAGCAGCCATGGCTCACGGGCCCAACCACTCCGCGGCATGTGGGATCCTCCCGGACCGGGGCACGAACCCGCGTCCTCTGCATCGGCAGGCGGACTCTCAACCACTGCTCCACCAGGGAAGCCCGGAGTAAGCTCATTCTTAACATGCCATCTTCTCATAGCACATTGTTAAAGGTAATTTTGTTACAACACTTCCATCTCGCCCTGTGACTTTGTGCACAACGGTAGAAAGACGTACCTTCTGCATGGGAGCACGGGTTATGAATGGCTCTGGGATGAGGCCTGTGTCCTGTCAACTCTACACTTCCGCCTCAACCCTGCCACCCAAAGGATGGCCCCTGGCTCCCAGTAGGGGCTTATTAAATGTTAGCTTCCCCAAAGTGTTTTTTCAGTGCATTAAAAGTTCATCCACTATATATGGAAGTATATATATATATTTTTTACTGCTGTTGAGTCCAATAATAGTAGCTCCTTGCTCTGTTTCACTGGTCAGATATAAAGACACCAGAACTGAATTTCAGATGTGTACCTGTAATATGCACGCCGTCTTTATTTATGGAGTGGAACATCACTAAACTTTACAGATATGGGAAAGGTCACTTTAGTTACAAATATAAACCGGTTATCTTAGCACAACAGTAAAGGTGTTTTGGAAATTACTATAATTACTTTGTTTAGTTAATAGGCTTGCTTGTAACCAGTGCTTATTTTTCAATATCCATCTTATTTTTTTTCCTACAAGAAGGAATCCCCAAAGTTATGCCAAAAAACTGGAATTGGATTGAGAAAGACAAAAGCCAGTGCATTCGACTGTCTCTAATAGGAAATAAGCATTTAGAGCTGATTTTAAATTTGGTTTCTTTAATAGTAATTTCCTGATTGTCTGTTAAACATCCCCACACTTTGGTTGTGGTTAGTCAACTTATGAGACCTCTTAATTCAGAATCTTTCCTTAGTTCTCAAGATGAGGGAGCAGTTAAATTGCTTCCTCTTGTGACCTTGGAAGTATTTAGTGCCTGTGATTCCAAAGTTGTACATGATTGTTCAAGGCTCCTCTGTCCTTTTAAGCTGTCTGTTGTTGAGGCCCAGACAGTAAATGGCTGGTTATTGTAGAATCGGGGCCAGTCGACATATTGGTCACACATTCTGCCGCTTGGGGAGTAAGTTAAAGGGCTGAGACCCGCCAGTAAATCAGAGAGGGTGTGGCCAACTTGGCCACCGACTTCCCAAGTCCTAGTTCATCTTGGGAGATTCAATCAAATAGTCATTAAAACAAAACAACCTATCATCTCTTCCTCTCCCTTCCCATGGATTATTGCAGTCTTTACCTTTTTTTGCCCCTAGTCTTTCGAGTCACAGACTCCCTGCTTAGAAGGACCTTAAAATCTCTCAGTACATTGCTCAATACTTAAAATACCTCTTCACTCAGTTCTACACAGCACTGCCAGTTATCTTCCAAAACCTACTTTTGCGATGCCACTCACCATCTCAGTACCTTCTATTGTCTCTCTGTTGCCAAAGGATAAAGGTCAAACTCATTTGCCTCAACCATGGGGCTCCAGCCAGCCCTTCAGCCTCATCCCCCCTTATCCATAACAGAGTCTGTGCTGCTAACTGGTCTCGCTGTCCAAGCTGTGAGCTTTCCTGACCCTGTGACTTAACTGAAGCAACCTTTTCCTCTCCCTCTGCCCATCCAGATTCTCCCCATCCTGCCATCAGACACCACACCCCAGAATGATCTGCTCTTATAGAGTGTTCATCACAGTTACCACAGACCACTTAGAATTCCTAGTTATCCTTCAGTCAGAGGACTTTCTCTCTAGATTGTAAACTTCACAAGGGCAGGAACCCTGAATGTGTTACTGTGTATCTCTTCACAGTACCTGAAACAGTGCTTTGTCTGGAATGTCAAAACCAATAAACGTTTGTGGATTGAAACAGAAGCTCATTTATACCATCGGCAGTGGCACACATGAAAAGAGGTGCCTGTTGCTGCTTGATGTTGTTGAGGGTTTGTGTGTGTGTTTTCTTGAATCACAGGAAAGAATCACTTGAAAGAAAGCTTTTGTCCATAGAAATAGAAAAATCCAGGCCTTTCCCAACACTTCATAAGACAGCATGCTCACCAGATGGTGGGGAGAGGTCTCCATCCTCCTGTGTCAGTCTGAGGCGTGCCCCATGTCACGAATGCTGCGACCTAGTGCACAAAACTCAAGATTCCAGGACATTCAAAGAGTATCACCAGGGAGCCCCTATGGGTACCACCAAATCTGGCCACTGTACTCTTGCAGGTGTGTTTGATGTGTCTGTGCTAACCCCCCCCCCTTTTTTTTCTTCTTCTTTAGGGGCAAAGGAGAGAGTGATCTTGACATCTTGTTTAGATCTTCAGATGAACTGGCAGATTGGAACGTAGGATTTATACTTTATCAAGGAAAACTGAAACACTGCTAGTAGAAATCATTGAATTTGGCGGTAATACATATTGCTACTTGGGAAGAGAATTACGTAATGAAATCAGTAGTATGGAAGGCGATGGTGTGGGTAAAATACAATCTTTAGCAACTGATGGACCAGGGTTCAAGTTCTTCTGGGTGCTGACTGTGTGACCCTGAGCAAGTTATTCATTCTCTCCAAACTTCAGTTTCCTCATCTGTAAAATAGGGTAGTTGAGAGGTTGAGGGGAGTGCCTATAACAGGGTTCATACAGTTTCTGTCACACAGTAGGTGCTCAAGAAATGTTAATTAAACAGCATTATTTTTCTGTTGAGAAGTTGGACCAAATACCACTCAAGTTCCCTCCTACTTAAAAAGAGTTACTTCTTGAAACAGGTGAATATTACCTGTGAATATCGGCACTGCAGCCATCCCTGTGCTCAGCAGTGCGTAGGCTATAAAAATATAATCATCACAAACCCCTAAATTCCAGTTACTCTGGTCGTCAGTAACAGTACCTTACGTTTTATATCTCTCTGTAATTAGATCTCTTACTCTTAACCCTTACAGCAACCTTGTGAAACAGGTGGTTCAACTAATGGGACAGCTGAGACCCGCGGGGGTCTCTGCCCCATGCTGGAGGGTGCATGCAACTCAGCAGAGGTTGCTGCAG